ATATATATGTATGTATATATTTCGCATGTTTCAGGGAGTTGCGGCCACGTATTCTGATCCATGTCTCTAACTCGTGAGGTTTACACAAAACAAGGTCTAAGTCATTTCTTTTGTCCCATTAGAGACTTTGCTATTTTTCCTATTACTTAAAATGAATTTTCCCCAGGGAACCATTGTAAAATATGTTCCCTTGCTAAAATACCAAGCATAATGCAACTTATTATTTTCTCTTTTTAAAAATCTTATATCCAGCATTTCCACTTCAAAAATATCCAGAGATGCATTTTGCAAATTATACAAATGGTTATATGTGTTTTGCTTAATTCATAAATGCAATCAATCTCCTTTATATCATACTTTTTAATGTTATTTTCAGGAAACTTGATTTAATTTCTAACAGAAAGGATAATATTAATAAACAATAAAATAAAGTCTGGTAGTAATTATAAGAGTAACACATTCACCACTATAGAGCTTTTGTGAATCATAGTCCACCTCCTCAAATCCATGGAATATACCCCGTTTCCCCGAAAATAAGACCTCCTCAGATAATATGCACAATCGGGCTTCTGAGCGCATGTGCTAAAATAAGTCTTCCCCTGAAAATATTGCAACACAGCAGCAGCCATGAGCTGACCACGCTAGCCGCTTTCTGCACTTCAAAAATAATAAGACCTCCCAGAAAATAAGGCCAAGTGCTTATTCCAGGATCAAAAGCAAAGAAGACCCTGTCTTATTTTCGGGTAAACACTGTAATCATATGGAGAGAATATTGCACAGAATTTGTAAGAAGTTAAGTAGCAATGTATAAAAGTTGATCTTCCTAATAGAAAAACTGCATAGTAAAATTTGCACGTTACAAAGGACAACCATTGATAACATCACGTTAGAATGTGAATTTTAGAGATCAATCTCCATCTCTAGATATTATGCATTCTAAGGTGATACAAGTGTCTTTCATTTTTATTCAAACATCTCTCTCATGTATTAAAAATGGCTTATTTTCAGCAAAATAAACCTGAAATGGTTAAGCTGCATCTCTTCAGACATTTGATGAGTTCTTCATCATCATTCATATCTAGATATTATGCATTCTAAAGTGGTGCAAACATTCTTTCATTTATATCCAAACATTTCTTGCTGTTGTACTAAGAGCTTATTGTTGATTAGAATTAGAACAGAATTAGAATAATAAAGTTGGACCTTAGGGGTCTTCTAGTCCAACCCTCTGCTCAAGCAGAAAACCCTATACCAATAATGGTGAACTTATAGCATGTGTGCCAGAAGTGGCAAACAGAACTGGGCGGATATGACCTTGTATATGGCCCTCTATGATGGCTAATATTGGACACTATCCCAGGGTCTATGACTATAAATCACCAATTCTTATATTCATGCTTCCTGTACATAGAAGAATATGTTGATAGTCTCTATATCCTTGGCAAAATAATGCTAAAGTAAAATTTGGATATAAGTCAGTTTCTATGAACATAACCTTCATAGAGAATGGGTAATATTTAAAATTTCATACAGGTATTGATTCTAATGCTTCTGGTTATATTATAATTATGATTTCTATAAACAGTATGGTGACTTAATAATGAATTCATTTAAAAATAGATGTAATATTGCAATCACTTCTAGCTTCTAGTAATTTAACTGTGTGAAAGGAAATATATTTCTGCTCATCATTGTTGGATTAACTGCTGTTCTTGAATTTACTGGTAATTTTTATAAATGATAATGTTTTCACATATCTGTATTTATTAAACAAAACAAAAATATGCACAATACTTTCATTTCCTCCGCTTTTTGTTAATTTGTTATTTCATTCAATCTTTTTTCCACCCAAAACTGCAGTAGGTATTGATTTGGCAGTTGTTGTTGTTTTGCAAATATACATACAGAAGAAAGTTGGAGAAGGATTTAATATCATGTATTGATTTAGATAGGTGTTTTTGATTGTGAAGTATTGCAAAATGCACTTTTTGGGAAATACCATTGCTTCTTTGCATTAAAAAATATCTGGAATTTACCTATTAGTAATTATTCAGTAATGATTTCATGTCTGTTTTATATTTCAAGCAAGCAGTACAAAAAAGGCCCACTTAGAGAATTATTGTGTCTGTTCTTAATGTGGGCATCTTTTTATCAAAACAATCCTTGAACAATACCAAATGCACTCACATGCATACAATGTAGGTGCAGTGATTGACTTATATGGCACCCATCAGTGTTGATTCTTAGCAGCCATATAGATAGATTTTCTTCATGTCAAACTGTTCCTAGCCTGACTTTTCAGGGCTTTTAACAGCACACCCATTGCTACTGTAACTGAGTCCATCTGCCTTATTGCCGGTCATCTATTTCTTTTTCCTTTTATCTTTCCCAGCAGTAAAGTTTTCTACAGAGAACTGATTCTTCAAATAATATGTCTAAAGTAGAGTAATTTGATCCAGGTCATTTGAAGCTCAAGTGACAGTTCATGGTTGATTTGTTCAATGATTTTAGAGTATTTCTTTTGCAGGATCCAGTCTCTTTTGGACACCAGAATCCAAGGTTTAATTTTTTAAGCTTTTGGACTCATGATGGAGCCCATCCTCAGGGAACTTCTTCTTACAGAATGTGTTCTGGTGAGAGAGAGGTTCTCCGAGGATGGGCTCCATCATGAGTCCGAAAGTTCAAAAGACCAAACCTCTAGTCCCAGTGACCAACCCAGATTGAATCTTGCAACTTTATTGTGGGGCATGAATATTTGCCTTCATTCGTGAACATTTGTTTTCTTGGATGATTCTGTGTATATGTGTGTGCATGTTGTTGTGTTTGTGTTCGTATATAAGTTAAAACTTTACGGGCAGATAACTGTTGTTCTTGCCATCAAAAGTAGCTAGTAACCTCTCAGACATTTATGAAATCTTTCCTCAAACTTAGTTTAGAAAAAGGAACACAGGAAGAGTCAGAAAATCCTATAAATTGCACCATGGTAATCTAATGTAACTGACAAATCAAAAAATTCAGCTCAGTAATGGCAATTGTAATAGACTCAAAGCAAACAATGTGAGACGTGATCAGAGAAAGATAAATTCAACTCTGGTGTTTGCAATGTTCTGTTTTAGTTGTTACTTTTAGAAGTCCTTCTTTTAAATGTAGAAGCCTGAAGCATGATATTTTTTGCCCAACAGATAATTGTGATGATCAGCTAGTGTCAGCCTTGTCCCAGTCATCATTCAGCAGCTCATCAGAACTGTCCAGTAGTCACAGTCCAGGATTTGCAAGGCTTAATCGAAGAGACGGTAAGTGTTCCCTTGGTTATTCTTTTTAATTTCAGAAAGTTTACAAAAGAGATTTATGAAATCAAATGAATTGTAAGTTAAATTAAAATGCCAAAATAGAAGCAAGCCTTTATCAATACTGTGATGTATTTGGTGGAATATAAAAGCCCCCAGAAGCCATAACCGTCTCGCTTAAACTCAGATGGGAGATAATCTGCATTCTCTATTTCAAATTTTACTGGAAATGCTTCATTATCACAGATTTAGAGTCTCAGTTTGCAGCCAATGTTATCCAATTTGGTTCACTGAGCTGTGTGTCCTATTTTACAGGCACAGCGATGAGAAACAGTGGTAGAAGGCAAATGTTTTCGCTCTGACAAGTGAGCACCAGAAAAGGGAAATCAAGGGAAACCAAGGGTTATGAAGGGCACAGATCTGGGATTGGGAAAAGGCAGGCTGTTTGAGTCTCTCTCAGATTATTTCAAGGAGATATCTCTGCAAGGCATCTTCTTTTCTATCGAGGATGAGGATTTCCTGACCACTCAACCTTTTAGGATGTTTGTTAATACATGCAATTTGTTGTGCACATAAATTAAATTGCAATGAAGTCTGGTAAGTATCAGTAGCTGATTCTGCGTCGCAGTTCTCTAGCCAATCAGAACGGAAACATCACACAGTCAGCAGCTGCCCTTGAAGCTGAGTTGGAAGTTACCAGTGGTTCAAAATGCAGAACCTGCTCGCTGATGGATGAGAGCTGTTATAGCAGGATAACAGCATGCTAAGGAGGCCGTGTTGGCTGTGGAACCACCTAGCAGAAATGCCTTCCAGCCTATTTGGCACACTAATTAGAATAACATGGGGTACATTGTGAAATGCTTTGCCAAAGTTATGTTCCCATAATCTATTCAGAAAATTATTCAGTAAAAAAAAAAGGAAATGAGATTAGTCTGAGAAATTTCTCTCAGGTTTCAATTTGGCTCCTTCATTCTGCTCTTGACAACTGTTGGTGAAATACATATCCTCTTCTCAGAGAAGACTTGAGCCGATAAGAGCTTTGCTGATATTTTATGTAAGTGTCGCTCTCAGCAAAAAAGATTGATTCCATTTAAAACAGGAATTTTGCTATTCAGATGGCTAGTCAACAACAGGCTTAGATTTAATAGGCTTTTAAATTAATCTGTGAGATAGGAAAAAATCTTGAACAAGCAAAAATTGATGCTTTTTTTAACAAATCAAAGGTCTTTGCAAATTCTCTCATGTACTATGACAGGTATCACATACTTTTTAGAACTGAGAAATGCTACAAAGATTTATAATACATTTGCCTACTTAGAATAGTGTGTTTGGTGGTGGTGGTGGTAGAGAAAGCTGATAAGATAAAAGCAGAGGCAGATTGATGACAAAATATGGCACTGTGACTGCAGGTACTGAATTTCAAAGACTCTCAAAAGAGAGAGAGAAAAAAAGATTGCAAAAAAGACTGAGAACTGGGGAACGATAAAATGAAAGCAACTCATCCTAATTTCTAACTCATTAGAAGAGTGTCCAATTTTATACATCAACCAAAGTATCATTTCCAAATTATGGTAAGCAATTGTTCTATGTTATTCTAAATGAATCAGGTCTCATCCTGAGTTCTATGTTTAGGGAATTCCAGTTTGAGAACTGGAATAAGTGCAGACAAGCCAATGTAGGTGATCTGGGGGCTAGGAAGAGTCGTTAAACTTGTTGGATACGTTTTGTCTTCAGAAAAGATGACTAAGCCAATTATAGGAGAACCCTTCACATTTCTGGAAAGATACCACACAGAAGAAAATCAAGATCTGTGTCTATTATCTCTGAGTACAGAACACATAAGAAACTAGTTACCAAGGAAAGTGTTTCAGTAGTGGGATTCTACCAGTTCAGACTGGTGAATCTGTTGCTCCAAAGATCAGCTGGGAGCAAACTGGTTTGCTCTGAAGAGCAAAACCAATTTGCTTCTTAGAATTTTTATATCATACCTATTTAGTTTTAATTAAGAGATTGTTAAAAAGAAGTCTGCTTGGAAGGTCAGGATTGGAGAAAGAATAACTTTGGGTTCAGGCAGATTCAAAAGATTTGGCAATTATTCTCATTGGGCAGTAGGAAAGTCTGTTTCTTTCAAATTAGGGTCTACTCTGATATTCAAAATCAAAATATAAAGAATAATTCCAATTCTGCTTGGAGATACACTAATATTTATAATCTTTGGCAGAAACTACTAAAGGGTGAAACCATGTCTTAGTTTGCCCAAATTTTACATGCTTTCTCAAAACCAGTCACTAGTATATCAACATAGAAACCCACGATCTCCACCCAGAACTGAATATTGTTGGAAATATCAAGGTGTTGGTATTAATCATGAAATTGTTTTTAGTACTATTCCAGGTAACATGCTAATATTCTTACCAATTGTGAAGAACAGGTTTTGAAGGGTGATTTTACAAAGGGACGATACTGAACCCATAAATCAACAAAATAGGATTCTGGGTAGAGCTGAACTTTGATGTGAGAGGGGAAGAATATTTTATCAAGCATTCATAATAAAGATGCTTGTGATATTATTCCATAAAGCGGATTTCATTTAAGATATAATAGTTGTTAAAACTTGACTCAGGGTTAAAAGAATAGATGCTTAGATCAATAGACAAAAAAACAGGTGTTGGTATGGCAGTTAATTTAAGTTTAGACAAATCTCTAAGTTTTATTGCAAACATTACTGGCTATCCAGATAATCTGTTGTGATAATCTATATATAAATAAAAATGTAAATGTTTGTTTGTTCAAAATATTAAATCTCCAAAGGTTCTTCACTGATTGCTTTCAAATTTTGACACAACGTTGCATTCAAATACATGTGTGTTTTTATGTACCTATATTATATAGATATCATACCTGTGACAGGTAAAAATATGCTTTTTTGAAAACCAGCACCATCTGTTTTACGTAAAAGCAATACATGCTATACTAAATATTTCACGATTCCATTTCAATGTTTCCGATTGCATTGTTATATTGAATTTTCATAGATTTCGATTTATTTTCATTTTGATT